CAAAAAAAAAAAAAAAAAAAAAACATTTTTTTTTACTTTTTGAAAATAGTAAAAATTGAAATTTGGGGATGGCCGTAATTCCAACCATAGCGATATTACTCTAGATTAATAATCTTTTTTATTTTTTTTTTTTCCGATTGCTAGGAGGATTAGAATTGTGGGTATAGTCACGTGTCAATTTTTTGAGACTCCCCCCCCCCCCCACTTCATCAGCTGCTAATTTTTCGAATTTTCAACTTTTTTTTCTATATTATTATAAGGTTAATAAATAACTTATAAAAAAATGGATAGTAAAAAAAATTGATTGTCTTTTTTTACGACACTTCAAAAATTACCTGAAATTTCATACTTCTAGACCAGAATATCCCCTTAATATAATTAAATTATTTTGGGTTATAATTTATATAGATAATTATAAATTTTCAATAAATAAATAGAATTATACCTTAAATTATCTAATTCTTGTTGTAATTGAGAAACTCTAAGATTAACACGTTCTAAATTATTAGACATTCGTTCACGTTCTCTCTGTTCCATTATTTTTTGATAAATAAACAAACTAGCAGCACCAAGTACTCCAATGGTTGCTCCCAGAGCAACCGTTATCATCTGTGAATTTTGAAATTGACTCATTTTGCCTAAAATAAATAATACAAATAAATTAGTAATTAAATAAGTTATTCTATTGTGATGTAATACACAATCAAATTGCTTACCTGCTAAATAAACTCAAAAAAAAAAAAAAAAATAAAATAAAATAAAATAAAAGGTGATCTTTGACCCACTTTGTACAATCTTTAAAATATTCACATAACTTTGAAATATATCACATGTGTAGTAATTAAATTATCCGATAAAAATATATGTTATTAATTTACAAGTCAAAATAGATAAAATTAATTCAGCAGTGTTGAAAAAAATAAACTACAAAATTGATTGATAAACAAAAAAAAATAGTTTGTTGATTACCGGTTTTACACTATTTCAACAATATTTTACGTGTCATTGTTGATAATTATTTAAGTATGTGTAGTAGGTCAATATCCAGTACGTACTCAAAGGTGTTTGCTACCTGTTAATGCTGCAGCAAAGTTGAGGCTAGAAAATACCAATAATATATACAATATATAAAAATATATGTATACTTTCTTCCATCTCTGATTTAGCACAATACCTATAGTTGATATAAAAGCTTATATTTACGGAAAGTATTAATTAAATATTAAATTAAAATTAATTATTAAAAATTAAAATTAATTAAATTAAATTAAAATAAAATATTTTGAAAAATTAAGATGATAAAAAATAATGTACCAAAAATGCAATTATTTGTTTTTTTCAATTTGGTATAACAACAATTTTTTATTAATTTTATCTCAAATAATTTAATACCTACATACATTGTTTTATAACTTAAACAATTATTAATTACAAAACGAAATTTTTTTAGATGCCATTAAATTATTTGACATAATTTTTCGAATGAATAAACATCAATTATCTAAGTTTCTTGTGATTATTAATAAATTTAATAAATGTGATATAAAAATGGTTAAAGATGAAATTGCTTTTGATTTGTTTATTGGTGTTTGTTTAAATTGTGCTATAGTTTTCAAATGAATCACAATAATTAGGTAATTAAATAATTGATAGAATATTCTAATATTTTTTAGGCTCTAGACATTCTTATCAAGTTATTGATTTTTTTTTTACATTTATTAATCATTAATCTACATGTAAGACGTATTTAGTATAAAAATGGTCAAATCATTTCTTTCTCACTCTCTCTTTTTTTAATGTATGGCAAGTTAATAAAAAATTTAAAATCAACAAACATTGTAAACGATAAAAACTCTTATAATAATGTATACCTAATTTATAATTGAAAAAATATTGAAATATTAATTATATATTAATGATGTGGACGAAGTTATTATTTCATATGCTCTTAATATTCATTCACTTTTTTGTTTAACAATAAAATTGTACAACGTATTTTAAATTATACTAAATACTAAAACTAATTACTTTGTTTTTACTAATCATTACGTAAAAAATTTTTTTTTATCTTATAAAACATTTATTACAATAATAATTATTATTATTAATTTATTAATATTGCTGCGTTCGTCGCGAATTCGTAATTTGAGTTTTTTTTTTTTTAAATATAAAAAAAATAAAACGTTAGTTAGTAATAAAACAAACGAAAAATGTATAAACTTTGAATTTAATAAATTATTATTTTTCAATAATTTAACACGATGAAATATAAAAAATGCGTTGCACACATGTATAAACTGGACACTATAATTTTTAATCTAGTTATAATTATCATAGTTTTTAATACGAAAAATTATGCAAAAAACTTACTCGTCTTACACTGTAAAATTGTTATTGTATCGTTTTTCTGTTATCACAGATATGGTTTTCAGTAATTATAAATCTATATTTTTTTTAATATATCATTTTCGTATTTTCTTATCTCCTTTTTTATTTTTTATTATTATAATAATAATAATAATATATTTCGAGTTTTTCTTATTATTATTTTTGGTAGGAGGTCTCTTATGCGTTAGATGATAAATAGACCTGTTTAATTTGAAAATAATAATTTAAACGACTAGTAAACGCATATGGCAATTTAAAGAAAAAGTCGTGTCGCTAGGGGCAAGCAAACATCAAGTTTCTAAGTTTGGGAATAATCTAGTTAATACAAAATAGGCAACGTCATAATTACTCCAATACGCGGTATGAGCTGTTACAGTATACAAATAATTACGGCCTAATCCACCCGCTCGTAAAACATAGTCAAGTCGTTGTTCTAGTTCTGAAACAAAAAAAAAAAAACACAATTATTATAATCGTTACTGATAATACTTATCTATTGACATTTTAATTGCTTTTAAGTTCAAGTTTTTGCGTCAATTTAATTTATGAAAAATAACATATTTAATACCTTCATCAGGTCTAATGATATTAGCATCAGGAGTAGGTGAGGCGCCTTCTTTGGCATTCCATCCAGCTCTTACAAGACCCCATAAGCTCCATGAGCCTTTTTCAACCGTTCTATTAGGGGTATCGGTAGGACTATCAGCTTCTTTATCATCTTTTTCTTCGTTATCTAAAATAAATGAATTAAAAAATTATAGTATTTTCTACAAGATTTGAAGTCTAGTTAATACAAATGAAACGAAGTTGACATAAATCTGCGGCTGGAATTTGACGTAAAGTTTACGCTAACAGTATGGCAACAGTTGTACTCATAACTGTTTACGTGAAGTTAACATTAATTTTCTGCAACTTTGCGTTAATTTTGAGGGAACTTTTCGGTCAATTCCGGCAGTAGATCTACGCTAACTTGATGTGTAAATTAAAGTCAAGTTCTGGGAAACTGTTGCACGGAAAAAAGAAAACTCGAAAAACTACATTATAAATAGTAATAAATGTCCCGTCGTATTAAAAACTAGAAAAATTACAGTTAGAAATAGCATTTTTCTAAATTCAAACTTTGAATGTTAATTTTCAGAACTTTCAATGTAAATTATTTTATGAGTCGTTGTGTCCATGATTTTACAATAATAATAAAATAGCAGGGAAGTGGACAAATAAAATGATGTAAATCAATATATTAATTATTAATTTAGCTAAATTAATAATTAATATATTGATTTACATCATTTTATTTGTCCACTTCCCTGCTATTTTATTATTATTTCAATGTAAATATTACATTCTACAATGAAACTTAAGTTTTTCCAGTTCTCATCACGGAGCGCCACGTTACATTATATCGGCTGCCCAATTTCAAAACACAGCAACTGACAATTTTAAGATTAAAAAAAATTTTTTTTATTAAAAAAAAAGTTTGCGCGCCAAATTGATAAAAAATTTGATTTATAAATAAAAAATACTTGAATATAAATATTATTAAGAAAAATTACTTGAAATTAAGATCTAAGAGTTATAAGAAGTGCAACAACACTGAAAAAAATCAGGTATAAAAATTCTGCAGTTACTGAGTTTTAAAATTGGGCAGCCGATATAATGTTATTTTTCTTTTTTCCGTGTGCAAATGCAAAAGTTGACGCGAAGTTAACGTAAAGCTGACGTAAATCATTGAACATCAACTAGTTGATTGTCAATTCGTGCTAACTGGGAGAGTATAATTTAAAAAAAGTACCTGACGTAGGTATTGATTCAACATTTCCTAATGACAATGGTTGATCTGGATTATCGACACCACCATAAGGCAAAATAAGTACCGGCTCAACTTTGCTATAATTCCTAACAAGTAGTGGCTCCATTCGATAAGCAACTGGATCAGACCAATGAAAAATATTGAAAAAATTTTTACACAATCCCGGGGGCATTATGTCTCCTGGGTTTGCCGGCGTTCTTGTTCGTAACGCTAAAAATACTGATAAAGGTGAGCCGAGGCAAAATAAATTTTCTATTGTGAATTTTAGTCCGTCTGTAACGAGAAGGACGTCAGGCGCTGCTGGGGATGGTGGTCTAGTATCCGGCCCCATCCAACCAGTAACGATGTCATAAACAATAACACAGCCGAGTGAGTGAGCCAGCACTGATACCTTTCCATTCCATCCGGGATGCCGGCTTATAAACATGAAATACAAACGATTCAGCTCACGTTGCAGACCAGCGCGTACTTCTCCCCCGTACAATGGGCTTGTGTAATAAAGAATATCCATTGCAGATGTGTTTAACAGATGTCTTATGCTCATTACACTGTACGGAGTTATTGCGTCTACTATGTCACCGTCAAGTTTTAAAGAAGATCGCCATTCGACTGGAAAGAATTCGACGCGATGTGATGAGCTAGGAAAATATTTCTGCTTGCACCAGTCAACACAATCACGAAACCTGTGATGAAAAATATATTTTAGTTATTCAATTATCAATTTATAAAAAGTTCAGTAAACTATTATGAAATAGATAAATAAATATAGGTAATCTTAATTGACTTACGAGGCAGTGTTTCGTATGATTTTACCGGTATCACGTTTCTGACCAATGCCATGGACAACGAATACCAAATGATCAATATCATGTGGCTTATCATCCATTGTCGAGGAGACCTTGTAACCGCGCTTCAGGCGATATCCACTTGCTTAATAATCAATATAAAATTTCATTTTTAAAATCATAAAATCATGTAAATCAAAAAAAATTATAATAATAATTTATCTCTCTCCTGTCTAAGCTTTTATCAAGTAGTGCTATATATTCGGGATTTTTTTAATCTTCATATATATACATAATAAACGACTTGACATTTGTAATAAAATATTAATACGTACTTTTAGTAAATCCTAGTTTAGAGGTAACGCTACGCATTAATTTGCTCGGTGTGTATTCACTATAAAGCGCGACATCATTAATGGCATGCCAATCAACATGAAATTCTGGGAAATGTACTGTGTGGAGAACTGTAAGAATGAAAAAAAAAAATAAAACATGATAATAATAATAAACTATGTAATCTTATGAATATTTTTAGCTCGATAAAAAGTAACGAAAAATATATACAGGTATAGATCCAAGTAATTAATTAATAATTCAGTGGGAAATAATATATTACCTTTGTAAGAATGCGAGGGAACTATTTCCTCAGGTGTTGACCCTGACGATTGTTTTTTTTCAAAAAGTCTTAAATGATTCTCCTCTATAACTTTCGAGTGTTCTATCTCCAATGGAATCCAACTGGCATCGTAAAACCACGTTGCTCTTAGTATTTCCCATTCTTCACCTTTTTAAATACATTCAAGTTTTTCAACTATTAATGAATCATTTTAGCATTTTAAATCAAATAATAATTACTATGTATAGAGAGTAAACAATATGGTAATTCATTTTTTTTTTTCCATCGAGACTGCATTAGTTTTTAATTATTTAAAATCGTAAAAGAAATAATAATTAACATTAAGAAAAATCTAGAATGAAAATAAGAGAGTAGTTTATATTTTATAATAATTTTTTATTGAATTTAAAATGATTGAATAAAAGCAAATAACATCAATGCAACACTTGGCTTACATTACTGTTGCTTATTGCAGTGAATGTACCTAAAGGAAATTGACAATAATAGACTCAAGGACGGTGTAATTTTTGTAATATGAAAAGCCAGACACTTTTTGAAAGGTAAAGTATAGAAGATTGATTAAAAAAAAAAAAGTTAGACAAGTAGAATATTTTATTAGAATGTTTAAATTTGATAATTTAAAAATACTTATTGTAACAAAAACTATTACTTATACTAGAAATTTTTTTTCAAGGCTCAGTCATCGCGTGATAAATTAAATCAAGTGTATGTCAACAATAAATTTTTTATTTAAATTCGTTATTAATCAAACAAACATGTAATAAAAAAAAAAAAACTAATCCTAATATTTGAAATATAGAAGATTAGATAGTTGTTTGTGAAATTACCCGATTGCTTGCATTGACAATATAGTATAGTAATAAAATAATTATTATAAAAAAGTATATTACCTGGCCAATAAATAGAGACACATCTCATATTGTCTAATTCAACGTCATACATTCCACCTTTGACAACAACTCTTTCATAACTTATTGAATTTTCATTTGTCTGATTGGCATCCTGATCCTGGCATAGTCTCCAAGCATTTTCAATTCTCAGGCTATCATACCCGCAAAATTCTACCCATCTTTTGTCAACGCCGTCCTTGTAAAACCATCTGACTTCTTCAGGTGTCAATGGCACTGCATACGGCAGTTCATCAGTTATTTCTTCCGCAATGTCCATCCCATTCTCTTTCTGATCATCTTTATTTAACACAAATATTTAAATGAATAAAATATTCCTCAAGTGTACTTCTAAATTAATAAACTAATAAACGGGTGAACTAAATAATTATCACAATTATTAGAAAAAAAGAAAAAAAAAAAAAAAAAGAGTTTAGTAAACAAGATTACATTTTATAAACTAGACAATAAACTTAATTAAACCAATATTGGTATTAATTAAATTAATCGGACAATGATCTCGGATATTGATAATAATATTATTATTAAAAAACTATAACCTATACTATCTTACGATAAAAAATAATAATAATAATAATATGATACATACCTTGAATGTCATCCAAATCCAATGGAGTTTCACTAAAAGGATCAACAACAATATTATGAGACATCCTGTCGACAAGTAAAAAACTGTCAATCCTGGTGAGGGAAATTATTTTTCTAAGCAATGATAAAAAATACTCCGTAATCTAGAATAAACACAGAACTATTTTTATTAACAGTGACATACGATGAATCATTTATAAAGATAACGTGAATGCATTTTTTATAAATTACTTGTTGTGTACTGTAATTACTTGGATATAATTTTAATAAAAATTTTAACTACAATAACTTTCTGCACTGCGACAAAGGAGACCGAGATGAAATATTGACAGTTGATGTAAAACATTCATCATTTATATTACTATAACTTGTAACAATAGTAAGTTTTATCAACCAGTAATATTTATAATATTTATTTAGCTGCTATTTAAAGTTCACTGTTTAAAAAAATAAAATAAAGAGTTTTAATGTCTTAAAAATAACAAAGACAACTTAATACATTGTGAGTAAACGGTGGTCAGCGTTAGTTTATCTAAAGCGCTCGCCACACAACACATATAAAATAACACTCGGTATATACATACTCTAACTGGCAATTCATGAGCATGTCGACTATGTCGAGTAGTCAGCGTTGACTTTACTATTTTTCAGACTCCTCCACCGCCTCCCTCATCTAGAGTCTTCTCCTTCTCCTTCCCACTATCAACGCTTATTTCACTCGCTATATCTATATACACTTATATATATAAATATATAGACACATAGATTACACATTATACACTTGAACCCTCTCTTCTTTAATGTCCCCTCTATTGCTGCTGCATGAAAGGTTTACGTAACTTGTATACATACTATATTTATCATATTTATTGTATCTATTATAATATAACAATAACTAGAATGTAATACTACCCAACAAGATTTTTTATTAATTTATTGATTAATAATTAATTAACTTACTGTTAAATTTATATTACTTAATATTATATAACTTACTGAAGATGATAAAATAGATTGATTTCTATTTTTGATCAATTGTTCAATAGATATAATTAAATTAATTAAAAAGAAATTGAGCACAGAGGATAGTATATTTATAAATTTAGTCCTAACTATGAATGAAGTAATAATATCTATCAAATATAATGTTATTTAGTAGTTAATGTTAAATGTATATTAATATTATTATTTTAATCGCCACGTGCGGAATTCATGAATACAAATCATGTCAAATGTCAAATGATTTGATCTTGCAATTGTTTTCTTGTAAGTCTTTTTTTTTTTTGGCAGCTAAACTTTATTGCAGATACTTGTTAATACAAAGTAATTCATTGTATACAGTTTTAATTACTTACGATTAAATATTTATGATAATAAAATTCAAAGAAGAAAAAAAAATAATACGAAAGTAGTTTTTAATTTCATATCACAGTTTACCTTATCGCTTATTATGATTATGATAATTTTAGTAAATATTTTATTTATCATATTTCACTTTAGTTTATAGACGAGATCAAGTTTTATTAAAGAAAAGAATTTAGATGATAAAAAAAAGTAAAAATTTTAGCTATCAAGGTCTTGGGTTATAAAAAATAGTCTTGAAGATAATAAAGCTCAGTTAATAGTTGCTACTAATCGGTTTTTGATAATCTGCAATAAAGCTATTTTTATAAATTATTATCAACCTGAAATAAGCAAAAAAAAACAAAACCAGCAATTATCGATTTATAAAAAATATACCAAGTTCTAATAAAAGGTTTATTAAATAAAGAAATAAATCATTATTGAACGTTTATACATTATATTTGTTATATTAAACAGTAAAGAAATATCATAATTATTTAGTATTTAATATTAAGATAAATTTAATATAATTTATGTAAGTAATGAGGAAAAAATGTTTACTTAAATAAATAAATATCCAGTTGGATCACTCACTGTGACCGGCAGCACGGCGCAATAAGACATATATTTTTTCTTTAATCCAGTCTTTATTGTAAGGAGCGTACGTGTTTGTTGATTTTTGATAAACCAGACACGAGAGATCCGTTAATTGATCGATAAAGTCAAACAATTGACTTATGTCGTAGGTTATTGTCGGAGTATTTGGGTTCCTTCTTTTCAAGTGTTCTTCGTAAATCTTACAGACGCCTGCAATTAATTATTTTATTAATAAATAATCATCCGATAGTTTTCATTTATTAATTTTATCATTAAATAAACATTTTTTTATTTTAAATTTGGTATCATGAATACATTAATTACTATCAGTTGAGAATTAAAAAAAATCAAAGATTTAATTATAGATAATGAGTATTTACTATCAATTGAAATTAAAAATAAAATTAAAGATAAATAATACCTTCAAGGCACTCGTTAACACTTTCATAATCAGAATAAGTGCGAGTCTCAGGACGATTTCCCGGCTGTACTAACAGAATAGTATGAGACTGTAAAAAAATAAGAATAACAATAAATTAATTATAATTTTGAATAAATTCATTAAGTAAACAAACCTTATGTCTAAATATTGATTATCATAAATCTTACCATGTTGGTTAATTTTTAAAAAATATTTTTTTCTTCGTTCAAACTAGACTAATAAATAAATAATACTTAAATTATTTCCCTCAGTTTTTATTCATGCAACTATGAATAATACTTTGTAAAAAACTTTTTATTTATTTATTTGAATTGTTTTTAACATTAATATTGTAAGCGGTTAATGCACAAGATCAGCAGTTTGGCGTTTATGGTTTTAATATTTAGTTATCAAATTCTCCGTTTTTAAAAGGAAGAGCGCGCAATAAATTTATACTTTAATTTATGTAATTGAATAATTATTATTATTAATGATAATTTTACTAAAGTGTACTAAATAAATTTATTTAATTATTTTTTTTTTTAATAATAAATTATCTGCTTGAAAAAAAAAAAAACAAAAAAGCAAAAAAGCAAATTTAAGACAATAACAAATAGCGCCATCTGTTGAGAATAAATAATATCAATTGTTGAGAAAAGTATCAACACACAGTATATATATGGAATAAAATGTAGAATAAGGTATAGAAGGTTGGTAAAAGTCAAAAAAAAGGAAAAAAAAAAGGAGTAGTAAATAAAAGGAGAAAATAATAAAAAGTTTTATGGTATAGTGGTTTCAACGGCAAATAACGTAGACGATTGGTCAAATAATAGAACGTAACTAATGCCATTGGTAAATAGACCTAAGGCATCTTCAGTGGCGGCTGTATGATTGATAATTCCGTAGTATAGTGACTGTAGACACATAGATAAACACACACAACTTGACTCGTGGATCTTGAGCGAGCGGGTACATGAGTACATACATTAAACCAATTCATACATACATACATACATACATACAATACAGTTGTTTCCTATCGTGTCGATATCTCATACTTGACTGTAAAAAAATAATAAATAAAATAATAGCCAGAGTATGATAATAATAACTGAAAATGTAAATATATTTTATCTTGGTGATAGTGACTGTAAGTTGATATAAATATAAAGTAATAATTAATAATAATAGTAAGTGAGACAGAACGGAACAGAAACACAGAAAGAGAGTATGTACATTGTGTATTATTAAGTCAACAGGATTTCCAAGTGTTTCATACTTGATCTCTCACCATCTTATTTTATTATTTTTATTCTTTCTCTTTAGATATACATAGATAGATATATATTTATATGTGTATATCTACCAACACACTACATTAATACACGAATTCAGAGAGTAGCAACAGCACATATATATGTGAATATCTATATATATGGATGTATACGTATATGTATATGCTCCGACATATTAAGTCTTTCTTTGTCATACATACAGTCTCAAAGTTTAGTACTTGTAGTTCTGATTCGCTCGTTTTGCGCGTGAACGAGCGAAAACAGGAAAAACAGGTACGCGACAACGGGGTGTGCAACTTAAAATTTTTCACAGTTTTAATTATTTTAAATTAATAATAATAAATAGTAAATAACAGACGTTATCTGTAATATAAAAGTCTATATTAATTATTTAAATTATTATTTTAGGTGGCTTTAAATACTCTGCTGGAGAAACAAATAATTTGTGCTAGTGCCATTGGATTACAAGTAAAAAAAATTGTTAAAGAAAGTGTGGATGGTGAATGTGTATATGTGGTGTGATGGATTTTGATAGTTGTGTAGACGGTTGATAGAACTCTTTTTACTTTGAGAATAAACCCATAAGTCTACTTAGTTACAAGCACTTTGGTTATTATAATAATAATAATAATAATAATAATTATACAATTATCAAGAATAATTACTGTATTACTGGTTACTGTAACGGAATTGTTGTTGATTATATTTGTGATAAGCCATTCATCTAAGAGGTATAGTAACTTTTTTTTATTATTATTATTATTATTATTATTATTTATTCCTAAGTAAATTATTTATATGTTTTAAATAGATGGGTTATTTTCTTTTTTGCTTCGTTCAATTAATCAAATGTCAGATGATTTTATGAAATTCATTTAAACGGATAAATAATTAGATTATTCAGTAATTGGAGATGTGGTTTGATAAATATGGTGATGGAATTGCCGGTTTTATAGGAATTTATTTATCTGGTTGAGAATTTTGATTAATGTGTCGAAATAGTGTAAATGGTGTCGCGGTTGATTAACTTTGAAATAAAATGAGTTTTAAAAATCTAAATAAATAATTAAAGTGATGTATGTTATGTGTAAATATCTGGTGAACTCGGGGCGTCATGGAATTTTCTGTTTAAAACGACGGCCTCGTGATTCATAAGATGAAAAGTGTATTTAGCTTTCTAATTGCTTTACTGCTGAGTAATTCAATGCCATTAGGAGTATAGCAATGACAATATAAACAATATTTGTTAATTATTGCTTAGATTTTTTATTTTTTTACTTAATGCATCCTACCGTTGGTGCTTTTTATCGAGGGTATATTCTGACGTTAAGACAAAAGAGTATTTTTAGATATATATCTATATATCCATTTTATTTTTTTCGTCTAGACTGTTGATTAATTTTTGATACACTGCCATCGATTATTACGTTTTTAGTATTTTATTATTTAATTTATGCTTTAGTTTTTTATTTTTTTTTTATATTTTCAGATTTGGAGTAAAAAATAAATTTTACAAGAATCAGCTGATGATATCCAGTGATGAATAACAGGGCCGATTATTAATTAAAAGTAAACAAAGCTGCCTACACAGTTCTATAAATTATTATTATAATCATAATAACTATTATTCTACTGTTAAATGAAGAAACTGCCTGCTGATAATATATTATTCATGCATAGTTTTCAATTGACTTGAATGGATACCATGACAATAGTTTTAAGTACTTGAAGCCCTATTGTAAACTAAAACTCGTGTTATAAATTTAGTTACAGCTTCAGGCTATTATTAATTGCGTTTTAAAAAATCCAGTTGGCTATAATAGTAATAATGATGATGATAATTCTAATTTTAAAAATAAAATTTTATTACATTTAAAGAGACTGGAGTCAATAAAGTTAAAATACTCGAAAAGATTGCAACGACAGAGAAGAAAAAAATAAAATATTAGATTCATTTTAAACAAATAAAAAAAGATATAAAATTTTATTATAAAAAATGAATCGAGATTATTGAGTTATTTTATTATTTTAACTTGAACAATCAAAATGTATAAATATCATTTACAATACTTTCATCAATGGTTAAAAGTTACATCAAAACAACTAAGAGACGAGGACGACGAAGAGGCTGTTTTTAAATATTTTATGGATGATAGAGGATATATTTATTAACCCTACAAATACCAAGGTAATCATTTTATTTATAATTTTATTTAAAATATTATATATTTTATAGAAATATAATATTCAAAGTAAACAGTCGAAAATATTATTCGTAAACTGAGTAAAGTTTATTTTTAAACTTTCGCAGCTGCGTAAAATTTCACATGACACATAAATAAGGCGAAAGAAAAATAAAAATAAATATATAGTATATCTATGATATGTATTTTTGTACATAAAAAATAATTATTTTATTTATAGGGTTAATCATGGAAAATAGTAGTTCAGGTGTGGTGCAAGTATTCGTGGGCGAGTGGAGCCCAGAATATGAAGCACTGTCAATAAAAGCGACTAAACAAACAACATCTGCTGAAATAGTAGAATGTATTATTGAGAGATTAGCTTTGAATGACCCGAATTTATCAAATGGCTATGAATTAGCTGAAGTTGTGGGTAATTCTGTCGGTCAGGAATGCAAGGAACGAAGACTAGGGCCATCCGAGTGCCCTGTCGCGCTTATGTTGCTCTGGCCAAAAACTGTTACACAGCAAGGATATTATCGGTAAATAATTATAATTATTTATTATAATTTAAAAAATCTATATATTTATTTAATTTTTTATTTATTTTTCCAGATTTTATTTAAGAAAAAAACAATCAGATTGTCTATGGGCTGACAGTAGATTTCCACTGGATCCTCAGTTACTAAAAGATTATTTTAACCGATTTTTATATCAACCACGTGATAAAGAGTATCCAGATTTGTGCCAATTACCAGATCTTAATGAACAAACATTACTTGACAATCTGCGTGCTAGATTTTTAGCTGGAAATATTTATACATATGTTGGCAGTATATTAATAGCCGTAAATCCATTTAAATTTTATCCAATATACAATCCAAAGTACGTTAAACTCTATCAAAATCGTCGACTTGGACCGGACATACCACCCCATATATTTGCTATTGCCGATGCCGCTTATCATTCAATGCTAAAAGAAAAGAAGAACCAGTGTATTGTAATAAGCGGTGAAAGCGGTTCTGGTAAAACAGAATCGACTAATTTTTTATTACACCATTTAACTGCATTGAGCCAAAAAGGTTCTCATGGTAGCGGCGTTGAACAGACAATTCTGAGCGCTGGTCCAGTTCTTGAGGCTTTTGGTAATGCCAAAACTGCTCACAATAATAACAGCAGTCGATTTGGTAAATTTATTCAAGTTAATTACAAGGAAAATGGTATGGTACATGGTGCTGTTGTACAGAAATATCTATTGGAAAAGTCACGTATCGTATCCCAGGGTAAAAATGAAAGAAATTATCATGTATTTTATTATTTATTAGCTGGTGCTAATGAACAAGAACGCCAGTTGTTACATTTAGAGAGTGCTGATCGTTATAATTATTTAAATAAAAGTGGTTGTTATGGATTAGAGAATATCGATGAACGACATGAATTTTCTCGGCTTAAACAGTCGATGGAGATGGTTGGTTTCACACCTGAGAAACAACGCAGACTGTTTGCTGTGCTATCCGCTGTTTTATTGCTGGGTAATGTTGAGTTTCAACCAAGAAAGTCTTATCATCATCACGACGAAGCTGTGGGTGTTAAAAATCCCGAAGTAGTTGCAATTATTTCGGAATTACTGAGGGTTAAACAGGAAACACTGCTAGCAGCGTTAACGGCTAAACGTGCGCGAGCTTCTGGTGAAACTTTAGTCATCAATTATCGTTTGCCAGAAGCTATTGCTGCCAGAGATGCTATGGCTAAATGTTTATATGGTGCACTATTTGATTGGATTGTTCTTCAGGTAAATTTGATAAGTTTATTCAATTAAATGATTCACTGTTTAAAAATAGTTTAAAAATTTTTGTAATTTTTTTTTTTTTTTTGTGTTTAGGTAAATCACGCGTTGTTGTCAAAAAAGGATACTCTACGTGATCATCAAGGCCACAGTATTGGAGTATTGGATATATTTGGATTTGAGGATTTTAAAACGTGCAATAGTTTTGAGCAATTGTGTATTAATTACGCGAATGAACAACTCCAGCATTACTTCAATCAGCACGTATTTCAATACGAGCAACGTGAATACCGTAGACAAGGAATTAGATGGACAGATATTGGTTTTAGTGATAATTCGGGTTGTCTAAATTTAATAGAAGGCAAACCAAATGGATTGTTGTGTTTACTTGATGATCAATGTAATTTTCCGGGTGCTACTAATGAAACATTATTGCAAAAATTCAATTCTGTACACAAGGATAATCAATTTTATGAAACACCACAGCGACGTGAGGCTGCTTTTGTTGTTAGACATTATGCAGGCGCGGTTAAGTATCAAGCAGCGCAAATGAGAGAGAAAAATCTAGATCTTATGCGACCTGACGGAGTCGTTGGTGTATTAAAAAATTCATCACTGGCGTTTGTACGTGAGCTAGTGGGTGCTGATCCGGTAGCCGTATTTAGATGGGCTATACTACGGGCATTCTTTCGAGCACATTTTGCTTTTCAAGAAGCCGGTCGTGCTCATCGTCACGGCAGAGGTAAATTCATGTTACTTACTACTAACCACTAATCAATAAAATTAAATTATAATTGGATTTTCAATGTATAACTCTGTGTTTCAGCTGATGGAAATAAAAATTCAGTTCAAAGCAGATATCGCCAACCCAATGATAATTTAATCAGGTAATTTATTTATAAATATATTTATAATTCATTTATTAAAGTCTTGAAGTTAAAAATTAACATAAATAATATTAATAATCAATTATTAAAATAATAATAAAAAATGAAAAATATAAATATTAAATTTTATAACTTTTTGCATAACGTTTAACGTATGAGCCCTTGGACGAGTTTGTTTGACGAAAATTAACATAAAAAATATTTTGAATTAAAAATTTAATAGAGATTTAAATTACATTGGTTGCATATTATTATCTTTTGTCTCTTATTATAGCCATCTTGTGACGTTATCGGCTGTTAATCTAACTATTAACCGAATTGCGTAAGTGGTACTTGGATCCACTCTATATGTTTTGTTTTGTTTAACGAATTCTTCTCTAATCTTCGCAATATTATTTATATTTTTATTTATATTTGTTTTTTTCTTTTTTTTTTTTTTTTCTCTAATTATCTCTAATGACTTATTTATTTGTTACTTTTTTAAAAGTTATGGATTTACAATAAATTATAGCTTTATACTTTGGCTATTAAAATATAAGCTAATCTAAATGCAAGCTTTAAAAATGGATTTGTAAATCCATATAATAATTTATTTAAAAAATTAAATTATAAAGTTTTAATTATTTTACAATTTTACAGTTTATGTTATCGCACCTTGTCAATATTATAAAATAGATGTTTTTAGAGAGTCATTTTCATCAAACTCTCCTCATACTCACGACATTATCTCAATCGTATATTATACTATCCAAGGTGCATCATTATTCATCTCCATTTTATTTTTTATTATTATTTATTATTTATTATTAATAACAACTCGAGCATGTCCGTTACAATCAGAAAATTCATTTTTATAATATAAATTATTCATCAATCAGTAATAAATTTTTTTCTCTTAATCAATCAATCAATTAATTAAAAATAGTACGACGTAACAAGTAAACTAGTTAAAAAGAACAAATCGGCTAAGCATGATAGCATTTTTCAGTTCGCACAAACATAATCGCCCGGCAAGTTATCAGAAGCAGCGCAGTGTCTGCTTGTCATCACCATCAACTCATCCTACACAAAACGAAAACAACGACAATGTTAACAACAACCACAACAACAACAACAATAATAATAATAATAGTAATAACAACAACAATAACAACAACAACAACAACAACAACAACAACAATAATAATAATAGGTTGTCTTGGCCACAATTTAGAAATATTAGTCAAACTCACCAACACCCAACGAATATTACGCCAACCAAGACAACCACAACAACAACAGCAACAGCTACTTATGTATTACGTATCAGAGATGAGCATCAACCTATTAGTAACAATAAATACAGACGGGATACCACTACTACTCATACACCACTTGAGAGGGTGCTTCCTAAAGACGAAGCTAATGTCATGGAACGTGCTAATCAAATAGTCATGTATGTAATGTCTATTAATGATGAATATACATCAAATTATTGTACTTATTAAGGTACCGGAGCTTTTGTCTAGTGGGAACTAAAGGCCTATTCTTCTCTATTCAAATAATTATTATTCTTAATCAAACATAAATTAGGATTCGACGGTTGACGGATAAATCTAGTAGTTAATTTCATTCAATGTTATAATTAACACATTCATTTAATCATCCATTATTCATAATTCATTTTCATATTGATATCATTAATCAGTTAAATTAACAGTTTAAATTGAATTACTGCATGATAAATTTGTATAGAATTTTGTATGTTTTTTTTTTCTTTTTCTAATTAGACTCTTTTATTCTTATTAGTATATTTAAATATTAACTCTAGAGGTTGCACCTTTCCTACTCTTTTTCACTAACACAGTTACACTTTTATAATTATAAACTATTTATAATGTATTTTATTAACAATTTGGGATGCAGGTAATTTAACAATCGCAACTAAATGCTGCGCTTTGGGGATCAATTTTATACTATAACATTTTTATTAAGGATTTAAGCTGTTTTTATTTTCAAAAATATTTATTAAAATTGTAAACTTTAAATTAAACAGCTTTCATCTTTGGCTATTGATTTTTTTTAAAGCATTAAATACTAAAAAAAAACTATCGAGAATGATTAAAGCTACTCTAGCTTAAGTAGTAAAGCTTTTAATCACAAACAAAATTGATTTAATGACAAAAAAACTTTCAAATTCTATAAATATTTATTATAAAACGTGTGAATTAATTTTTATTTGATATTTACAGGAAGAATAAATCATTTCGACCACGCGAGCGAGGCAAGAAGGGTTTGAAAAATTTACAAACAGTAAAGACACTGGCAGGAAGAACTCAAAGTTATGGATCAGGACCCGGTAAAGCACGGAAGCAGCCGATGACAGTCTCAGCGCAATTTCAACAGAGTCTTCACAGTCTAATGGATACTTTAAATCAAGCAAATCCATTTTTTATTAGGTGTATTAAATCAAATTCAAATAAAATACCAAATGAATTTGACGAAGAAACTGTACAACGTCAATTACGTTACACCGGAATGCTCGAAACGGTGAGAATACGTCAAGCTGGGTTCAATGTGCGTCTTACTTATGAAGAATTTATCCAGTTGTATCGTATGTTACTACCAAATGGTTTAATAAGCTCACAAAATGACGTACGTGATTTTCTCCTCACTTTAAATCTCAACAAAGACAATTATCAACTTGGTAAAACAAAAGTGTTCCTACGTGAGTCTGAAAAAATAAAACTAGACATTGAATTACATCAACAGATAATAACAAGCATAACGACAATACAAAAATGGTTTCGTGCTTGTTTGGAGCGACGAAAATTCCTGAGAATAAAAAATGCCGTTGTATTGATACAGTCATTCTGGCGAATGGTATTGGCCCAAAAAATAGCCCATACAATACGTGCTCGAATTGATGCTGCGATACATATACAGAGCACTTGGCGTGCTTACAGACAGTACACATGGTACAAAAAATTAAAATCATGCGTTATAACATTCCAGTCACATGTAAGAGGACGTAGTTTACGTAAAGGGCTCGTTGAAATAAGAAAACGAAAACAGGCTGCTACAATGACGTCTTCCTCCTCGTTATCCTCGTGTTTGTCCTCCTCGTCGTCGCTACTGAATAAATCAGAGATTGATTTTAGTGAAAATAGTAGTAGCATGTGTGACAAAAGTCCGTTTAAAAATATCGGACTGCAATCTAAATTAACATTGGAGCCATGCCCGTCGCCACGTCGCGAATATATAACGTCTTCTAAGTTGGATATCACTCCGCCTGGGACTGCAAGTGTTATCGATAACACAGATATAACATACTCAAAACGTAAATTAACGCCAAATAAACGTCTTTTCACTTCTGTTAACTCACGGGATCCTAAAAGCCCAGAAGCATTGTTCAGTCCCGATGACAATAGTCTACGTAAAGGTAGTCTTGAGAGTTTAGCCAGTTTCAAGAGTTACGAATCTCAGCTCAGTATTGATAGCAGTGAGTCTCACTATTCTCAAGAGAGTAATTCAACTAAACCTGTACCCAGTGCAAGAACAAAGCGTACTGATCACTCATCGTTGATAACTGCTCATGCTAGTATTATAAATACTACTACTATTTCTAATACTATTACTGCAATTACTACGACTATTACTGCTACTACTACAAGTACTACTACTACTACTACTACTACTACTACTACTACTACTACTTCTACTGCTAGCCGTACGTCGTTGATAAGTAGACGTACTGACAGCTCGTCAACGGGATACAGTGACGGTGACACTGACGGTGAAGCGCCGAGTGTTGTACAAAGCGCCCCGCCTATTTTTAATACCGCGATATCGTCATTCCACAGTCCGCGTGATAAATATCATCATCCCGCCTTATCCCAGCAGCAACAGCAGCAGCAGCAGCAGCAGCAGCAGCAGCAGAGTCCCGTATCAGATATTTGGAGACGTAGAGCCGAATATTCAATATCCAGTTATGTCGACGCAACTCCACAAAAGGCTACTTTTATAACGAGATCACCAAATGTCACGCAGTACAGAAATTTTACAGATAATTTATTGGAGCAAGCAAGAAATGACCACCGGGTGAATGAAGTCTCTAATTTAAATATTAAACTAGATAATAGTGATAATAAATTTATTAGCAGTAGTAGTAATACTAATAGTAATAGTACTAGTAAAAATGATGGTTTTTCATTGCTCGAAAGAAGGTTCAATGAAACTCCAGATAAATTTGGGGATATAACTAAATTTCGGCGCGACATTAAAGAGTACAGCTTTTTAAAACGACAGAACTCTGAAGGTGACACTACTTTAAAGATGATGGATTTAATTCCGCCATTGCATGACGATAGACCTGTTATTGAAAAGACTGAACCAGATGTACCGGTACGTAGTGCTCGTAGAAATCGACCCAGCCGAGAGATGCTCTGTCGCTCGATGGGGGAAAGTGTTAATGATACTGTATCAGTTTCTGATGCTAGGAGTGTTTTCTTGGGGACTATTAAAGAAGATCTTAATAAAGGTAATTGGTCAAATACGTCAACGCCGTCGTTATCCCTATCAATGACTCCCTCGGCGACGGTAATTACACCCACCGCAATGGCTATAAAAAAAGAGGACCCGTCATCGAGATCAGTCACAGACTGGCCGGTCAATAAGGAAGCGGCTTACAAGGGACAACAATTGGGTAAACGTATGCGTTCAAATGCCATAACGACACTTGAATTACGACGCAGAAATTCCGATCCAGCTACTAAGATATCGGGATTAGATGAAAAAGCTAATGTAGTAGGTGATTGTGGGGATTTCAAATTGGCTCCTGGTATGAATAGACTCGAATGGAAAGGCAATAACTTATTTACACTCGCTGGTCATAGATTTAGAAAAGTTGCCAGATTTTCAAAAGAAGACGTCTGCGTTTGTTGTCACGAAAAAATGGATGCTTTTGTTACTCAAGGATACAAGTGTAATGACTGTAAACAGCTTTATCATGTTAAATGTATACAGAATGGGGGTGTATTAAAAATGCCCTGTCCGTTGGCAAATAGTACCACGGCAAATCGTCGTAAAAATCGCAAGCCTATTATGAGAACACCCTACGATACTTCGGCGAATAAACAAACAGTTGCATCGAAATTTAGTTTGACTGGAACATCTGCCTTTACAGACAGTGCTGATAAAATTATTTCTGACGCTAAAGAGCTGGCTTTGATGCAGGACTTTATTACTAAAAAAATTTATATAATGGAAGGACAGGAGGAGGGTAAAAAACCCAGCGAAGTTGACAGGGTTTTCAAACAAGCTTTGAGGAAATTTAAAGATGATTTAGTTATTACCTACAGTGTCGCTATTCAGCAGGGAGTTGAGGGTAATATTAAGTATACAGACTTGATAGCTAACTTTTTACACGTTATGGAGACTGTTTGTAAACAAGAGAATACTCGGGAAGACTTTCCGGTTACTATGGGTGTCAATGCGTTCCGTGGTTTTATGAATGAGTTTATGACACAAGTTAAGCCGGAGGCTATTGATAAGCAGAGCAAGAGCAAGAGAAAGAAAGAGAAGAAACGCAAACAAGAAGAACCTATTAAACATGGTAGTCATATGTTCCAATTGACTATTATTAATATCCCAACTGCTTGCGAAGTTTGTACCTCATTTTTCATGTGGCCTATTGAACGTGGACTCGTTTGTCAAAGTAAATATTTTTTTTTTTTTATTTATTATTATTATTGTTATTTAAAATTATTTATTGATCTTTAAATTATTTGTTACAGATTGTAAATTAACGTGTCACAAAAAATGTTACATGAAAGCTGCTGCTGAGTGCGGTAAAGACGGTTCAATTCATGATAATAATTCACGAAAAGTATTTGGCGTGCCGTTGTACAAATTAGACTGCGGAGATGGCAAAGTACCGCTTGTTGTTGATCGTTTAATAACAACAATCGAAATTCACGGGCTGTACACCGAGGGTCTGTATCGTAAAAGCGGTGTTAGTTCTAAAGTTCGTGAACTTAAGGTTAAAATGGACGAGGAAGATTTGCAGAACATTGATTTTGAGAATTACCAAGTCCACGTGTTAGCAGCAGTGCTCAAAAGTTTCTTTCGCGATATGCCGGAGCCATTGTTGACATTCGAGTACTACGACGACTTTTTACACGCGGCGAATCTCACGGATCCTCAAGACCGCGTCAATACTCTGTTTGCAATACTTAAAAAATTACCGAAACCCAATTACGACTTGATGGAGCGCCTGACGGTTCATTTGGCGCGTGTCGCGCTCAACGAAGTCGCGAATCGTATGTCTTCGTCCGCCCTGGCAATTGTGTTTGCCCCCTGTATACTAAGGACGAATCGCACGCTTCCGGCACAAGACTCACTGCAAGACGTTGGCAGACAGACTAAATGTGTCGAGACTATTGTGCAAGACAAATTGCGGAGCGTACGAACAGCCCTTGCTGACATAAGTACCCTAGAATCGGCGTGTCATGCAGCTACTAATCGTCTGTCCAGTCTCAGATCTTCAAAGATATTCAGCCCCGAAGAATTGAGTGTGTCCTCGACGATAGCTGGCGGACGGTCCAGCAACTCGGACCGTGACGGTGATCGCAGTGGTGGTGACGAAGAAGAGGCCCTCCTCGTTGGACATATTCAGACTATTCAGAAGGAAAAGGAACTACTCACTTCAACATTACCTAGCTTAACTCGTGCTTCCTCAGATGATGACCTATTACTGTCAGCGACAGATCTTGACGACGGGTCTCTAGATGATTTACTTCCATCAGCTGGTAAATTTACTCACTTCTTTATAAATTTTCTCAGTTGTTTTCTGTAAATTAAAAAACTATTGACTGTAAGTATAGTCGTCGTCATTGATTTGTAAGAGTTGGCAATGATTCGAGTAAAATAAAAAATTCTCAATTTGGACATCTCTAACTAAAAATTTCAATTAATAATATATTTGTAAAATAAAGAAAATAAAGGAAACTATGAAGAAAATTTACATAAAATAAATAATTGTAAACTCAGACAAACATAATTATAGAACCTTAAACGAAGAAAAAGTACTATACATAGAGATAATTAAAAATAAAAAATTCCTTTATGGTAAATCACCAGAGAAATTATTTGAGTATCCAAAAATATACAAATAAAATATTTCAGATAAATTTTATATTTCAATTAAAAGAAAATCAATGAAATATCAGTCTCCTGATAATTACCGTCTTAAAAATAAACAATATCAAATAACTATTACTGAATATAAAGACATTTACTAAAATATTAGATCATGTCATAACACAAAATTAAAATTGAAAAGGCCTAAAATTAGAAAATAGTCCATTAAAGGAATTTAAATTTTTTAAAAATGGAAATATAAACAGAAAAAACAAAGGAAATTAAAAAATAATGACAAACTTAAATTCAGACAATTCGAATAAAAGATATCAAGGTTATTTGACATACACACAAATGAACAACTCTGAATATAGAAAAGCTTTACAAATGAACATCTCTAATTATGGACATCTCTCATTAACGAAAACAAAAAAAAAATACAATATTTATAAATTAAAAAATAAGTAATAGTTCAAAAAAAACATGCTTCAACATAAAACCAAACTAAAAAGTAAGAATAAATTTTTTGGATAACTCAAAATTTAGTTAAAGTGATTAATAAAAAAAAATCATTTTTATGTAAATAAGTGTGGGGATCAGATAAAAACAATTATTCTAGGGTAATAAACTCTACTATGAATTTTATCATAGTATCACGTTAGCAGTCGAGAAAGAAAAGTTTGACATAAATAACCCTCGTCATTGATTCTAGTCATTAGCGATGAAAAAATCTACCTAAAAATTAAAAAATCGTACATCACCAATGATTAATAAAAATTAATTTTTCAGCAAAGTTCTCCGAAGAAGATGGTGTAGAATTTATTACCTTTAAATAATTGTTTTTATCTGATCCCCACACTTATTTACATAAAAAAGATTTTTTTTTTTAATAATCACTTTAACTTAATTTTGAGTTATCCAAAAAATTTATTCTTACTTTTCAGTTTGGTTTTATGTTGAAGCATGTTTTTTTTGAACTATTACTTATTTTTTAATTTTTTAATTTATAAATATTGTATTTTTTTTTTGTTTTCGTTAATGAGAGATGTTCATTTGTAAAGCTTTTCTATATTCAGAGTTGTTCATTTGTGTGTATGTCAAATAATCTTGATATCTTTTATTCGAATTGTCTGAATTTAGGTTTGTCATTATTTTTTAATTTCCTTTGTTTTTTCTGTTTATATTTCCATTTTTAAAAAATTTAAATTCCTTTAATGGACTATTTTCTAATTTTAGGCCTTTTCAATTTTAATTTTGTGTTATGATATGATCTAATATTTTAGTAAATGTCTTTATATTCAGCTATAGTTATTTGATATTGTTTATTTTTAAGACGGTAATTATCAGGAGACTGATATTTGTTAAATTGATTTCATTGATTTTCTTTTAATTGAAATATCAAATTTATCTGAAATATTTTATTTGTAGATTTTTGGATACTCAAATTATTTCTCTGGTGATTTACCATAAAAGAATTTTTTATTTTTAACTATCTCTATGTATAGTACTTTTTCTTCGGTTAAAGTTCTATAATTATGTTTGTCTGAGTTTACAATTATTTATTTTATGTAAATTTTCTTCATTGTTTCCTTTATTTTCTTTATTTTACAAATGTATTATTAATTGAAATTTTTAGTTAGAGATGTCCTAATTGAGAATTTTTTATTTTACTCGAATCATTGCCAACCGTTACAAATCAATGACCACGACTATAGGTAATAAACTTATTCATTTTTTTTACTAAAAATGTGTAAGTATTTGTTTTTTTTTTTTTTTGTTATAGATGCCTTGGTAAGAAAAAAAAATATCCACAGGCAAAGCTCAGCAGATAATGCATTTCCTACTATCATAAATGTCGATGAAGATATGGTGATGGTATGACCTGTCGTTTATATACACACTACAATGAATAATGTCTCGACTGTTAAGTAGTAATAGTTAATAGTTAATAGTTAATAATAATAATAATAATGATAAAAATATAAATAATAATTATAATAAAACTATTACAATAATTATTAGTGTAATAGTTATATTATTATGGTTATAGCAGTATAGTTGACTCAACTCTTGTCAAGAATCGTTAACAACTGTTATCACCTCGCCAAGTTATATTAACTGGGACTTAATAATATCCGGCTACTGTTTACTTGTTAGTAGTTATTTATTTTGATAGCTCATTCTTAACTTTAATACCCCATATATATGTATATATACATTTATATGTGGGAGGAACAAATGCTTCGCAGATTCACTGATCGCGTGCCGTACAAGGTTCGATATCGATCTCTGAGGTTGTCAAAACCCGGCATTTATATTTAATATATATAGATTTAAATATAAATACTTCTTTTTTTTTTTTTTTTATTTTCGTTTTTTAAATTAAAAGATTAAAAATTAAAAACCATTTCTTTTACTACTCTAGATATAGTATAAAATAAAACGTGATAAGTTTTTTATTACGGAAATTATCATTTATTTATTTTTTTTTATAAACTTTTTATGTCTTAGTTAATAAATTCAAAACGACTCGACGTTAGGAATTTTGTTAAATAATTTAATTAAAAAATGTATTTTAAATAATGGACAAAAATAAATTATTTTGTTACGTTTATTATTACTATTATTATTATTATTATTCTAATTATTTTTAATAAAATAAAATGTAATTGATACTTTATATAATATTGCGGTTTGACAGCCTCTTCTTCCTTTGACTTCCCGTGCTGATAATCAACCAGCGACTTAGACTAATTTTTATTAAAAAAAAAATGATGATAATTATAAATAAATTAATTGAATATTTATATTAATAATTATAATCAATAATAATGATAATGATAATAATTATTGAGAAGAAATAAAACCAAATGTAGCGTGTATATAATTATCGTAATAATCTGTTATTATTGTTGCGTTTATTGAACTAGGGGTTACCAAGATTATTTTTTTTTTCTAGTATTCTCGTTATATATTATCGATTTTACCAATATTCTCATAATAATACTAATTCTAATAATAAATGGATAGATAATACCTAAGGTAAACGATGTAAAATTAATACATCATTTAAAACTTGCCTTTCTATTCATTTATATAAATACTAATATAAAAAATAAATACTAATGAATATTATTTAAAATAAAATATTTTGTAATTAAAAGAAAAAAAAATTTAAAGTTGAAGAATCTAATTATTTGCATTTAAATATTCTTTAGCTTGTAAATCTTTGACGATAACAAATGTTTGAAATCTCACTAAATAATTTATATTTATACTTTGCTGTGAAATTATTAATATGGGAAATTATTTAAATTTCCAGTGCTATCTAGAAATCGATCAAATTAGGTGTACAGTTCGTATGTTTAGTATAAATTAAAGAAAAAAAAAAAAAAAAGAAGAATTTAATAAATGTGCTTTGAGTTGATTATCATTTATCATTATTATTACATAATTATTTGGTTTATAATTATTATTCATGCAATTTGACTGACATTTTTTTTAGTTACTGCCATTCAATGTAACTTTTTATTTAATGCGTTTGTTATTTATTTAAATATACTCCAATGGCGAATAAAAATAACTGCGCTTACATATGTATATCTACTGGAAAAAAAAAATTAAGAAAAAAAAAACAAATATAAGTATAATAAGTATCGTACAATCATATTACTGTACATGTCTTCTATAAATAATTATTATTTTTTATCTATAAAAAAGATAAATATATTATTTTTTCACAATTATTTTATTACTGTCATTATGTAGGTCTATATTATTATTATTAATTATTTTTAACAATGTCAATAGTCAAGTATGAGATAATTAAATTTAAAAAAATGCTCTTTTAATTATTTACAAATAAAAATAAGTTAAATTAATTGTTTTATTTTATTTTATTTTTATATGTAAGTTGATTTAATGACTAACGAAATCAAAGTGATGTTCTTAACGACTTTTAAGCGACGAAATTATTAAAATATATATATTATATACAGATAAATATAGTTTTTACATGAGAAAATTGTTCGCAGCATACGCGATACTCTGCATTTATGCCTCAATAGTTATATTTGTTCTAATAAATTTAATTAAATAAATACTAAATATGTGACTATCAACTATAAATAATTGTAATGTAAAAGAAAAAGAAAAAAAAATACGCTTCGATTGTGCATGGGCGCGTTATTTTTTTATTTATTTTATTAAAGTATACCAGGTACAAGCAGTTTAAATTTATTTTTAATAATTAAATGAAAGGTAAATTGAAAAAATAAAAAAAAAAAAAATAAAAAAACTATTTTGAATATCTGCTTGTACGAACAGATGCACAAAATTTAATTCTTTTGTTTTAGCTTTAAATTAAGACTTGTTTTAAAATTTGTTGGAAATTAATATTTATTCATTGAATGATGTTGAATTATAATTATATTGTTCTTTGTCATAAATAGGTCTATGATATACTATAAATATAAAAACATAAAAAAAAAATTAAATGAATTTACTATAATTTATAGAGAAAAAAGATTTAAATTATGTGCGTCAGGCTCTGCGCCTTCTTATAAATCAAATTTAAATCTAAATAATAAAAAATAAATTAATGAAAAAAAAAAAAAAAAAATCCAAGTGGGATTAGCAGTCACTGGAGAATAAATATTTATGCTCTTCCCGTTTGTGTCTTGGCGTTAAACTAATTATAAGCACGATACTTTAAACTTAAGGTAAAATATCTACATACACATTTATTTATATCCATACATTTACTTGCTGTGAGTATATTTACATGTGTATGTATTTATAAATAAATTATTATTTTTCTTCAAGTGTGAGAATCGCGTGCAAGACTCAATACAAATAACAATTATTTCATGACATAAATATGAATGAAGAGTGAATGATAAAATATCTAAAAAAAAAAAAAAAATAATAATAAAAAATAATAAAAATACTACGTCGAACTGATACTTCTTAATTAAAAAAAAAAAATTAAAAAATATATAATATGATGATTGATGAAAAACATTTTTTTGTAAGCTATTGTTTGGTTAATTTTTTATCAACGAATATATGGCATTTATATTTATATAATTTGTTATTTTTTATTGTAATTGTAATGATAAATAACAAAAGGCTGGTTCCACGATATTTGGTGCGAAAAATATATAAATGTATAAATATAAGTGTGTGATAATTATATCTGATAATGATAACATTCAAACTGTCTTCTGTCTTTTACGTATAATTATTATTATTATTATTATTATTATTATTACTACTATATTACTATTATAATTATTTAATTAAATGAAAGTTGTGTCGTGTAAAGTAAACCGAGATGACCGTATATAATTATATTAATTAATTATTACTATTAATTAATTATAATTATTAATAATGAATAATGATTGAAGACTTGTCTTGCGATTGTAATTTTATATATAATATTTGTAAGGTGAAAAATAAAATCTTATTTACAGTCTACCTGATATTAAATAATAAGTATTATAAACAACTAAACTAATAAAAAAAGTTTTAAATTAATTCTTTGTATTATTTTTTACCGACTGATTATTAGTTTAACCATTAGTTGAATAAAAAAAGTACATTCGGCAACCGAAATGGAAGTAGATTTCATAATGAATAGAAAAAATGAATACTTGGATTAAATAAAAAAAAAAAAAAAAAAAACTAGTGCAACTGCAAATTTCATAACTGGTATAGCAGAATAGGACATAATTTTGAGATTACACTTATGATATAGTACTCAAATTGAAGCTTATATTAAGTGCTTTCAGATGCTATTTACAGAGATTCAATAAGTTATCCCATTCAAAAGTTATTCGGGTAAGAAAGTGAAGAAAAATGAATTTTTAAAATTCATTTTGAAAATTTTGAAATCCCGGCATTTCTAAATTAATTGACCGATTGAGCTCATTTTCGAACTTAATTTCGATATTTATTTGTAGAATAAGTATGATGAGTTTGATAGAGATCCGTTGCTAATTGTAGACACTATCGTCCTGACAAGTAGCGTAATAATAACTGTTATTATTTTTATTAGTTACTACTATTATCAAAATCGTAATTCCTAATATAACCTGATGATTATAGTTACCATCAGTAATAATAATAATAACTACTATCTAAGCTAGTAAAAAATATTAAAAAATTTAAGAATCTGCGTTACCGTGGATGCATTTCTGAATAAACGAAAAGCAGCTGTAGTGCACAAAAAATCGGGATTAAATTCGGATTGAAATTATATTAAAATTTTTATTTATTTAAAACAAGTTTCAACGTCAAATTTTTGAAAAAAAATTTGAAATTTCCAAAAAAATCAAAATTTTCAATGAAATTCAAATTAAAAAAAAAATTTTAATTTAAAAAAAAAAAAAATTTTTAATCTTCAAAAAAATCAAATTTTCAAAAACAAATTTTGAAGGGAATTTAAAATAGGGTAAATACACCAATTATTGACCGATTAAGGTTTTCTTTTTCTGTACTAAGCTATAAAAAATCTATTAACCTACTAAAGCCAATTTATAATGGATTTTATCAAAGTTAAATACTTAATTAATAATAATTAATAACTATTTATAATAAAAATTAACAAAATTATATTAATTTTGTTATTTGAATGTTGAAATACTAAAATCACCAATTATTGACCGAAGAAACCCAATAAATGACCGACCGTTCTCCAATTAATTGACCGCTCAAATAATTATAAATAATTTTGTAAACTACATGTATGTAATTAAATTTATGCAGTACTTATAAATTATTAACGACATCTTTAACAAAACTAAACATACAATATAATTTTAAATCGTACTTTTTTTATAAAATAATATAAATAATAGCAATAATTAACATAAAGT